ATGACATGGACATGCCCATTGGCCAGGGCCTCAGGCTCATGGCTTCTGGCACTGCTGCAAGGCCTGCAATTATGAAGTTAAATGAAAATGCAGATAATCAGGTGGATAGAAACTTTCAACCACGAGGGAATAAATCAAGGGAGCTGCAAGTACCCAATGAAATGCCAACTCGTTGATTTTTCATCCATTCATTTGTTAAATTTCTTTTCATTTCAATGCATTTCGATGTTTGTTGATCGATTACCAGGCGCTTGATTCTCTTGATGAATCCTCCCATGAAGCGTAACGTTTTCCAGCCGAAAACCCTCACACAATCATGGAGTCGACCCACTGCCACCGAATCATGTATCAATTATCGATAAGTTAATCAATTAATCGTTTATTTTGAGCTGCAGAACGCGCCGGACCGGGTTCATCAACGTCATACCATGGCCTGGAAGTTTCATTTTGCATCGTGGGTCAAAGGCCCTGCCCAGGCCATTGATTGCGCTTAACCATTGGGCTTTTTATTTGTTGTTTCTTCGGTTGTGTTCACTTTTATACCACTTTTACATTTTATTTATTTTTTGTATTGGATCCATGTCCAGGGCAAAGTGCATTCAGTGGTCGAGAGTCCAGGGTCCACGCTCCGTGGTCCGAGTAAAAATATTTTTAAATTTATTGAAATTCAAAAATGAGACTCTACAGCAGCCATTTAAATGGGAAGCTCTCTGCGCTGAAAGAAGTCTTTTCCAGGGTATCAATTTGTTTGGCACAATAATCACGAAGCGGAGCATTTTATCGGAGGCGAAGGGTGAGGGAGAGAGTATCTGCCCTTGGCACTCGCGCTGGCAGTGGGAAACAGGAGACAGGGGATGCTACTGCTACTGGGACTTCCACTGCGGGCTCTCTGTAGTGCACCGTTCTCAAAAACGGGTTTTGTTGGCCCAAATACTGTCTCCTCCATCCGCATAGGAAATATCTACCATTTCTCGCTCTTTTTGGACTCTCGAAGGACACTCTGTCTGTCTGTCTGTCTGTCTGTCTCTAGCTCTGCCTGAGAGTGCCTCTTTAGCGTGACTCAAGTGGCCCCGGGGGACATTACCACACACACACACACATGAGTCCTGGAGTTGGGGGGGGGGGGGGTCTGTGACTGATTCTCTGATTCTCGTTTGGGGCTGTCAGCATCGTTGCCCATTGAGTGACTGCTCAAATCTGACTGGCGTCTGCGTTGCAAAACTCTTTGCCATTGATTTGTGGCACGGCCCCACATAGATAGATCCCCAGCTCCCTGTCCCCCGTCGTGCCACATTTCGGTTGATTGCCCATTTCGGTGTGCCACGCCACGCCACACACCGCCCTCCCCCCCTTCCAGCCATGGGCGGAGGCATTAAAAATCGCACAGAGTGTGGGGCCAGAAATTACGACTATCTGCTGAGATTTTTGATTTTTTTGCTGTTGTATGTGCGAAGTCAATACTCTCTCTCTCTCTCTCTCTCTCTGGCAAACAGCGTGGGGAGGTGGCAATCAGGGGACAAATGTGCCAAGCAGACATATGCAGATACTCCCTGGCAATGGGGTGTTCCGTGTCTCCTTTATATCATTATCGGCATAGCAGAGTAGTCATCACCATTGCCATATCCCCATCACCCCCATCCACATCGTCATCATTATCATCACACAACAGCATCATCTTCATCATCCTCTTCGTCGTCGTCGTCTCTCTGAGTCATAAAACGCGAAGCGGCACAAAGTTTGCCCTTTCCTCAAACAGTTTTCAACGTACTGCCAGGAACTTCCTCGAAAACGGAGAATCTGGAGGGGCTTCAAGCTAATAAAAACATTAACCCACACACACACACATGAGTTGGTTGGGGCGACGTAACTTCCAGTCATAAATAAATATTTCTTTGGCTAACATTTTAAGCAGATACTGAGATCCCAGAGTCCTTTAAGTCGACGCCTAAAACACACGACGCGTGCCAATTTGTTAATAGACAAAAACGCGTTGGCTTTTGTTGTAATTTGAAACTGTTTGCATTTGGGGATCCCTGGGGCCCCTGGGGGAGTGTGAGTGGGTCCATTTCTGTGTAACTTTTGAAATGTTCGCAAGATAACAAGGATGAAGGAAGTGCCACACAGTGGCAGGGAGAGGGAAAGAGCGCGAGAGAGAGAGAGAGAGAGCCACAGCGGCAGCCAAGGCAAAAGTTTTCTGGCCCAAGGAGCAGCTCATGTAACAATGGCGTCTCCATCTTATCGAGCCAGCACCACAAAACCCCACTCCACAACCCCTTCCACCACAGCGCCACCCCTTCATTTTGAGTGGGTCATGGCTGATTGGCTGATTGACTTGCCAACGACCCGCGACCTGCGGCCTGTGACCCACTTAATTGTTGAGTACTTGTATAACTATTGGTCGCCCCAACCCCTCCCAGCACACCCAAGACTCCCCCTAGCGACCATCAAAGGCCCAAGTTTTCCCTGTTGCTGCTAGTTCCCGTTTCTCTCAGGCTGCAGCGGTAGAGATAACCGCAACAGTGGAAGCAGCAGCAGAGTGGCGCCAGAGTGGCCAGAGCGCCCAAAGGGGATACTCTCAATGGCTACTCTCAGTGTAATGTGTACCATTTATTGATTGCATTTCGTATTTGATGGATCAATCTGTAGATTGTAAGTTGGTTCTTTTCTTTACCGATTCGTCGCGGATCAGCGCACCAAGCTCCATGGAGTAAACACTTCCAAAGTGTAACTCTTGCTATAGAGCTATAAGTTTTTCCAGTATTAATAGTTGTCAGAAGGCGCCATAGGTCCATAGGTATTTCCTTTTCTCGTATGCTATATTTACATCAAACATCTCCTGCCGCTGCTTGGAGGCATACCGTTCCCCAACCAACCACTGCACTGCAATTTATCCATCGTTTATCGAGGGATAAACTTGTTTATGCAACTTTAAATGTGCCCAAGAAATTAAGGACCCTTAAGCAAATTGTATCTGCATAAGTGCAGCTTTCCCATCCCCCAACCTGCTTCCCCTATCCCCTTGCCAGTATCCTCTCACCTTCATGGCTGGGGTGATCTGGGGTCCTCTCGGTTGGCATGTTGCATGCCTCGGTGAGCAATAAGTTCGACAAACTCATTTCATTAAGCTCAGCGCTGCATGAAAAAATCCAGCTAATGCGCTTCCCGTCTACCCATCCGACCACGCGCTCATCTCACCCTTTTGCCAGCACCGGCACCGGCTCCTCCTTTCTGCAGGAGCTGTGCCGTCGATGTCTCATCATTTATTGGCAAGCGCTTTTCAACGGATTGGCATCAGTTCTCGCTCGCATACACTGCCATACATGGCAGGCAGAGCAAGGGGCGGAAGGACTTGCTTAAGAGACACGCAGGACCAAGACGGAGGAGCCAGATTCAGGGCCATAGACAGAGGGAGAGCCGGAGCTAGAGACATGGCGAAAAGTGTCTGTTGCTATTTATTGCCAGCTCGCAGCGTCGCACTCTAAAGCCATCCATTTTTTATTAGATTATATAAAATTTACCAACGATTTATCTATGCCCAGGGCCAGGGCTGCCCCGCCCGCCTGCCTGCCTTCCTGCCTGCCTGTCTGCCACGGCCCCACTGTTTATCCGATTGCAGCAATCGGATATCTGACGACAACCGACAACGACAACCGACAACAGGATGTATTGGTTGCATTTAATGCAACTAATTTAATGAACCCGCAGATGCGGCGAGGGCACACGACACAGCGCACAGGACACAGCATATGGGCTATCGCACCGCATCGAATCGCATATCCCTGGCTATCTATCGTCTTGCCATATCGTTATAATCGAATTCTCCATTCGCCATGCACTTTATATTGTGCCATGTCGCAACTCTCGTCCAATGCGAATTCAATAGAAAATAACTTTCATTTGATGTTCATGGAAACAAAATTAATATTCAACGAATACTGGATTAAGTGCGCAAAGCCATGCCCCATCGATATTAACTCCTTTTGCTGCACTAGACTACCAGAGCAAAGCAGAATATTAAAGCATTAACATTTGGATATTATAGATGATAGGATTATTATAGATAGATGGCTGGAGACTGAAATATCTACTTATGAGCACACATTCGTTTGTCCATTGTGTGCTGTGAGGAGCATAATAAATATTTGAATTATTTTTAGTTGCGTATTTATGTAGCTACCAGAGATGCAATGAATCCGATGGAGTATGTTGATTCTTTTGATCGAAATACATTTTTTTCTGGGTAGAAATTCATTTTTTCGGGATCATTGGGAAAATGTGAATGGCTAACTGATGCAGCTATAAATTGCAGGCAAAAACTCTATGCTTTTAGTCGACCGTTTGGGAAACACTAATGATGATTTTTGTGCGGAATTTCGTCCGAAATCTTTACTTTTAAAACTCGGGAAAATACGAAAAAACATTACATGATATATTTGGGTCGTGTTATCGATTGGTGTACGCCCTTCTTTCACCATCGCGCCTTGCCATCGAGGAACTCATTACATTTGCAATTGTATTGAACAGCGTCCCCATAGCAGTCTCCATTTCCATCTGCATCTCAGTCTTCGACTTGGAGTTCGGTGCATGGCCGTAATGGGAATATTCTCAAGCGCACCTTGATGTTTCGCTTGGTGTTTCTCATCGATTGTTGTTGTTGCTGCTGCTGCCACGCCCATTGCCACAGCTGCAGATACTGTAGGAGCTGCTGGTACCTTAAAATTCGTCAGTTGGCAGGGCTACGGCACGCCCTTGCCCTCCTGCCCCGTGGCGGGCATTCATCAGCGTTCATCCTGTCTCGTTATCCTGCCGCTTTACTCGTACATGCAATATCTGCACAGTGGCATGCCACTTTGCATTTTGCTCCTGCCCCGCCCCGCCCCGCACTCCATGCAGCCACGGCATTCACGAAACGAAGAATTAACATTAGTCGGACGGCGACGGCGACGGGAAGGATATTTTCCCTTTTCCTCTGATGTAATTGATTTGCTTTTCTTTTGCAGGATACGAGGGGATACACGGCCCTGATCTGATTGCGATTGCTTCATCCTGCCGACAAGCGAGAACCGAGAACCGAGAACCGAGAACCGACTGCCACTGCAGGTAAGTGCCCTGTGAATTACAGGAATTTACATATCTTTAAGAAAATGGATTCCATTGTGTGCAGTCTGGGGTCTGCAGTCTGTTCCATATCTACATATAAATGGGGTTATTGTAGATCGTTCCCTCCTGTAGTTGTCGCCACTAAAGACATTTAATTAATCATCGAAATTGTAGATGTCTTTTCATGTTGTGGCATTCGGTCATCATTCAGCTTTATTCTGTCAATTATTCTGCGTTTTAATGAAGATAAGGGAAGATATCCGCTATATCTGAGATTCACATCCAAAATGATGAGAAAATTCTGAATGGCAAGACAATTAAACCTTTAATTAAACTATAAATTGTATTGAAAATCATTAAAGCTTGAGCCCCAATGAACTAGCAGCTTAAATATTTAGTTCCTTCATCAGTTTTCGTGTTTGTGTGTTGTGTGACTGTGTGATGTAATTGAAAACCTGGCAATGCTGGCTCCCCCTGGCAGCCCCAACCCGGAAAGGACTTGCAGCTAAATGGAACGACATTAGTTGTGTATGTGGCACAGCCTTTTGCTGCTTTTCTTTTCCTGCTGCTCCGCTCCTGGGATTCACTTCACTCCCGTTGCCAGTGGCTGGTGCTGGGCGGGCATCCAGCCCTTGTGGTTCTGGCTTAATGCGATGGCTGCTAGTCGTTAAAAGCGCAAAAACGGTTCGAAAAGAAATTGCCACTAAATGTTATTGAAATCGAATACGTTTTCACTCTCTCTGTCGCTCGCTCTCTATCTCTCTCTCTCTGTGTCTCCTATATGTGGCAGTGGCAGTGGCAGGGGCCACGCCCACTTGTCACTTGCCATTGGCTATGGCTGTAGCTGTGGTGCTGCGGTTGCTTTTAATATCCTTAATGTCCCAGTGTTTGTGCTTGCCTCAGAGTCAGGGCACAGAACACATGAGCAGCGCAACATAAAGGATGAGCAGGAGATTGTGTATTTTCATCATCATCATCCTGCTGCTGCTGCTGCTGCTCCTGGAGGATGCTGCTCCGTGAAATGTTTATCCTTTTTAATCAGAAATTGATGCGCTGCCTTTTCGCAGTCATCGGACGGTGAGGCAAAGGACGGACGACGGAGGACAAGGACATGACAGCGATACGAGCGTGTGTCCATGTCATCGACTGTCGCTCCATCTGACTTATTGCCCGCAACTAATTCCTAATTACAATTTCAATTAAATATTTATTTTAATTAAAAAGCCAACTTCAAAAACACATCCCATATACCCTCTCTCTTCAGCATCCGCATCCACGTCCGCATCATCTCTCAGCGGAGGACACTGGGCGAACGCTTGCAGCATCTTGTCACAGTTTTCACTGCTCCTTTGCCCGCTCTCTCGCTGGCAGATTTCTCTCAGTGCAGTGCCGCGAGTGCCGGAGCAACCCATGCGAATCTCTCATACTCAGTGCCGCTGCCGCTGCCGCCCCGCTTCATTAAATTTCATGAATCGCCCGCAGCGCTTCAGCCATGTCCTGTATATCCTGGGCATGTTGTTGATGGCTCTGCTCCACAGCAGTAGGGCAGGACAGGGGGCAGCGCTGAAACAACAGAGACAGGGTGCCGGCAGGGCTGGGGAGTCATCATGAGGCATTGTGCTGTGTGTCTCTGGCCACGCCCGTATCTGTATCTTGACCATCGTATCCCTCAGCATCTGCCTGCCACACACTCTGCCCTCTCTTTCTCTCTCGCTCTCTGTGTGTGTGCCCCAATCTGTGGAATGCCGGGGATCTGTTGTTTCAGCGCAAAAGCCACAAAAACTGTTGGCGCTTTTATTTATTTGCTATTGATTTCCCAGTGTCCCAGGACGCAATTTGTTTGCAATAAACTTCATAACAATAATTCATGTCCCCGCACAAATAAATAATTCATGGGTGGCCGTCGAAGCCACCACCAACCCCAACCCCAACCCCTCACCCACGCCCCCTTTTCCCTATGAAGGATGCCCCACCCCAAACCAAATTCAATGGGGAGTTCGTGTCGTCTTGCGGCTGAGATTTCCTAGCGCCCTGATGGATAATCTCTGTTTGGCTTCACGGACATAAAACTCCATGAACCAAACACATAAAAACTTAACGTTAAATTCAAAGGTAAAGGCATTCAAGCATGTGAATCCAGGCAAGAAGAGTGTGCAGGGGAATGTTCAACTAATGAATCATTCGCTCAGAAACCCACAAATAAAAGTAATCATCGAAAAGATGCACTTAAAGATCGATTGTTTTATGATAGATTTGACCTATTTATATGGACCTATTTTAATTTTCATTCAGGTAAGTGTGTCAAGGAATTACTTTCTGATCATATCTTCTTGATGGTCTTTTGCCTGTTTGAACACCTGACCTTCGAACACAATTAACGCGGGAGGCACGCTCTTTTGATTAGCAGTTTTACTTTCTGTGGAATGAATGCTTTGAGAATGGTACCCAAGTGGCATTCCATTCAATCGATTGCTCTATGTGAAAATGGAAATCATAAAGAAAAGGAAAAAGGATTTATTAACAATCAGGAATCAGGATTAAGCGGTGGCTCAAGTGGAACGCTCTTCTATAACCAATCATCCGGAAGAGAGAGTGAAAGAGAAGGAGAGAAAATGCGAATGACTCAGTGGATTATAATTAAAAGCTCTATGGGGCAATAGTGGGACACTCCGGAGAGCTCTCATACACTGGTCGCCATTCAGAATGAATGCCTTGATTCAAATAGAAAAATAGAAAAATTCCTCTTTAACCACACCGTTGCCTTTTACATTTCTTTGACCTTTTGTGGTTCACTTTTGCCTTGTTTCCGTTCCACTGTGCTGTTTATGCATTAGAGAATGGTTGAGTGCCTTTGAGTGCTTCCATATGATATCGCCTAAGTAATCGAAAGCGAAAAACGATAAACGGGTAACCAGAGCACAAAAATCCCCCCCTTCCCACACTCACCCACACACTCCCGCCACAACGAAGTGACATTCGCATTCGCATTCACATTCACATTCACATTCCTCCCTCCCTCTGTTCGCATTCACGAATATGGCGAGGGGGGGTATGGATTACCAATTAGCATTTCCATTCAGCATTCGGCATTGGCATGCGCCCATTACCTCGTTTTTTGTCTGTGTATGTGTGTGTGCAGGATTGTGGTGGATGCCAGAAGTGGTGTGTGGTTTGTGCCTCTCCCATTCCACTCCCTGTTTTGCTTTTTCCATGGGAAATTGAATTCCCCATTATCGGTATAGCAATGAAAATTCATGCGAGATTTTTGGGTGCAAGCTTTTACTTTGTGTTGTCGCCTCTTAGCTGATTAAATGCATTCGGCCGGCACAGTCACAGGCCATACATTACTCATACGCCACGTGCAACACTTTGGTTTCTCTCTCTTCTCGCTCTCTGTCATAAAACACGAAATTGTCGTCAGTCCCTTTCGATCTCCAGGACACGCTCTCGACTACCTCCGAGTGGCCGCAGTGGCTCGCAGTGGGGTCAGCGGATCGGGGAATTGAGTTTCCGTGTGACCGAACAGGACGAGGCCCCCGAACAGGAGGCCTCTACCTCTCTACCTCGCTCTCGCTCTCGCCCTGTGTGTGCGTTCCCTCAGACAAATATAATAAAAATCAAGGGAAAATAAAATATTTACACATGCATACAAACGAATAAATACAAATAAAATATGGGGCCAACGGCAGAGACAGAGAGAAAGAGAGACGGCGACAAGCAGAGCGACAGGGACATCGACATTGGCGAGAGGCAATTGAGAAAATGAATTTACTGTGTACGAAATAGTTAAGTAAAAGTCTGTGTATCGAAGCCAGAAGCAGCAGCAGTAGCAGCATCAGCATCAGCAGACAAAGTGGCCCAAGCCCAAGCCGCACAGTGCGACAGTGGGGCAAAGATTCTTTTCTCACGGTAAAAGTTTATACACATCCAAAAATTGTAAAGAACTAATTTGCTTTTGTGCAGGCATTGTGAAAATGCATAATCCATTGCCTATTTTTGTTGATTTATGCTTACTTTCCTTTCTCTAAGCTACACTGGAGGAGAGCCTATCCAGTAATCGCTTTATGTGTGGCCTCGTTCCACTGTGTGGAACAGCAGTCACTGCCAATTTCTGGTGCTGGGTTGCTCTGCTGCTTGGTCTTTGGGTTTTTGTGTCCCTTTGGTAGGGGAGAGCAAGCGTGACGCTTGTTTAACTGTTTGCTGTGTTGCTGGACTTTAGTTGAAGTCTGCTGCCGGGAAGGCTGACGAGGCTGATTGAGGAAATGCGCATCAGGCTGAGGCACTGAGCCACTGCCAATAAACTATGGGCTCCTGTATATCCACTGTGTGTGTGTGTGTGTGTGTGTGTGCATTGATCTCGAGCAAGCAAGCGAAATCCTATAAATATGCCATTTGAAAGATAATGCAGCAATAACAAAGTGGCGACAGCCGGAGCGGAGTGGCAGGAGTGTAAGCCAACTGCAGGACGAAGAAAAGATAAATAGGCAGCAGAAGCAGCAGCAGCAGCAGTAGGCAAACAAGATGAGCAAACAAGAACCTCAGATGCAGGACAGGCCAGGGCACCAACTGAAGGATGCCAGGAAGAGGCTGACAGGAGAAGGAGGAGAAGGATGTTTTTTCCAGCGCCAAAGGCGGCAAAACGCATTTGGAAAACGCAATGAGAAAAGGAAAGGCAAAGAGACATCAGGGGGCTTAAAAATGCCAACTGTCCTGTCCGCTCGTGTGAGCTGAGCCTGTCGGCAAGGACAGGAGAGAAATAGATTCGAAATCGGACTACAAATGTGGGATATGGGATGGGGCACAAAATTACTCGCAGAAACACCGCTTGAGAAGTTGTTACGTATTTTATAGGTACTCCTCGGTCGGAAGAGAAGGGATGGAGAGGGGGCATGCCACACATGCCACACATGCCACACACGCACACACACAGAAAGAGAGAAGACGACCCAGAGTTGTTTGCTAGATTAAATTTACTACAATTTGAAATTGAATAACTAAAG